ATATATATATATAGAAAAATTAGAGGAAATGTGAGCAAAGCGTGTCCGCGTGTTCTGTACCTCAGGGTGGAAAAAGATCTCAGGGCCGAGGAAGCGCTCGTACCCAACGTCGATGGTGAACTCCTTCTTGGTGATGGCGTTGACGCCCGTGTACTGTTTGATCCATTTGCTGCCGTCTGTGTCGTACTTGTTAAACTCTTTAACAAGGTCAGGGCACACATAGCTGAACCGCTCCTAAAAACACAGCACAAAATATTTGGCAATACTGTAAGACAAATGCACATGGAACTAAACAAACAACGACGAGCTTCCCGTTTTAAACCTCTGGAATGAATGGAGAGGCTACCAGTTTTCAGTATAATTTAACTATGGCTTCTAGTAGCATCTGTTTCTAAAATCATTTTATATGAGTGCTTGAAGTTTGTTGTATATTTGCTGCTATGACAACTCAATTTCCCTCTGGCATTAATAAAGTTTCTCAGATTCTGATGCTTCTGATACCACACTGACCTCTAGTGGCCAAACTGATAAGTACATGACAGAAGCAGTACAGCAATCATCTGTCAGAGGTATCACTTCCTTTTCTGCCTCGTTTTCTTACAGACTGCATCTTGAGTTAGTTTCCATTTATAAATTAAAATCTATACAACAACAACACCGCATGGACAGGATAGCTTCACAATGACTCAAACTGGTGCTCATGCTGTTTGCAACGACACAAAAGGTGTCCTCGTGAACAGAGGCCCAGTTAAACTCTGTCACTCTAAACTCTGTTACAGAGCTCGGCCAACATGCCCCTGCAGTTAGCAACAGAGATGAAGCAATCCCTCAAGTTGTGTGCCAAGGCTGTCACATAATCCTCCCGGTTTGTCCGCACTCTTGCTATGACCTGCCGATGCCTCTTTCAGTAACGAAGTGCCAGCTTTAAGGCAGGAGTGATGGCAACAGAACAGCTGCACCCCAGATCTTTTACCTCAGCAGTACTCGCTAAGAAAATCCACAATCACAGTGCCAGGCTTTTGTGTTTTGATTCTGAGCTCCTTGACTGAGAGACACCTTTCTATACGACTACTCATCTACATGGAAATCTGGTACTCCGTGGCAAATGCCAATCAGTCATCACAGTGCAAGGCAGTGAGCACAGGACCCACTAGAGGGCCCTCAGGTGACCCTCATGAAGTCAGAAACATTCACACTAGTGACCTGCTGGAGGTCATTTTATAGCTCTGACTGTGCTCACCCTGTTCCTCCTTACACAAAGCAGCAGATACCGGTCCTGCTGATAGGTTAAGGCCCTTCTACAGCTCTGTCCAGCTCTCCTGGAGTAACTGCCCGTCTCCTGGAATCTCCTCCATGCTTTTGAGACATAGCGAACATTCTGCCAGTGGCACATATTGATGTGCCATCCTGGAGGGGTTTGACTACCTCTGCAACCTCTGTAGGGTCCAGGTGTCGTCTCATGCTAGCAGTAGTGACACTGAGACTAGCCAAAAGCAAAACTACTAAAAAAAACAGTCAGAAAAGATGAGGACTGAAAAATGTGAGTGTCCTCCAGCTGTAAACCGTTCCTTTGTTGCGGGTTGTCTCATTGTCGCCTCTCTAGTGCTCCTGTTGTTAATTTAATTGACACCAAAGCAGCTGAAGCTGATGAGAAACCCCCTCTGCAACTGAACTGACCCTGCGTTATTGTCCATTGTACTCTGCACAGCAGCATAATTTCATATTTATTAAGACTTTAACCTAGTAACTGAGACCATGAACTCATCAGGAAAATCTTTACTCCAATCCAAGATCAACTGAAAGCCAGGCTCACCTTCCCATATATTTCTATACAGTCTGGCTGCTTTTATCGCCCCCTGCTGTCCATTAGAAAAAAGGGCTTTTTTCCCTTTTTTTTTTAAAAACCTGTCTTTGGTTGGTAAACATGAAGCGTACTGACCTTGACAGCTTTAGCCGTCTCCAGAGACTGCTCTGGAGGAATCCCCACCTCTCGTTCCCTCAGGAGCTGCTGGATGAAGTATGTGATGTCTCGACCGGCGATGGGGATGTGCTTGATGCAGCTGCCGATGACGTAGCCTTCAGCCTGGAACGCCACAGAGCAAAGGATTAGAGCTCCAGGGAGCGGAAGTGAGGCTGGGAGCTAAAAAGCAAATAATAATCACAAAAAAGACGCGACACCGACCACCGGGATGACGTGCGTGACCCCGTCTCCGCTGTCGATCACCGTCCCCGTCAGCGTTCGTTCTCCCACCTGTCTGGATGTCCAGGAGGCAGCCAGCGCCAGGACAGCCTGGGGAAGAAGAAAAAAAAAAATCAAGAAACATAGGTTTACGCTCAGGACACTCATGTGCATTTATATGAAGTAAGAACAACCCAAACAAACTGTGAAACCTTGAAAAAGAAGAAGTGAAAACCCGCATTTCCCCATAAAACATCCTCAGAATCACATTCTCAGTCAAACACACAAATCTAATTATACGCACGCAGCTCTCACGTCTGAGCTCAGTGTTTGAACCAGCTGTGAGTGCTGGGTTTGAACTTTTAGGGATTTGTTTCCAAAAATCAGAAAAGCCTTTGCAGCAGTCTTACCTGAACAGCAATGTAGAGGCCGGGGACATTGAAGGACTCGAACATGATCTCTGCTGTGTACTCTCTGTTTTCTGGTGTGTTGAGGGGAGGTTCTGTCTGAAAAGAGAAGACAGAAGATTTTAGGCTGATCGTTCACACGAGACGGTCGTTGCTATTTTTGTTGTACTCTTGATTCCCTAACAGTTTGTATTGAAAACAAACTCTCTGCAGAGGAGCGAACACGTCTGACAGATTAGAGAGGCGAGGCTGAGATGGTTTGATGGTTACTCGGCACAGCTCGACTTTTAGGGGTTTCATTAGGCCACGGGTCCCCAATCCCAGTCCACGAGGGCCGGTGTCCCTGCAGGTTTTAGATGTGTCCTTGAACCATCACAGCTGATTTAAATGACCTCCTCAACATGTCTTGAAGTTCTCCAGAGGCCTGGTAATGAACTAATCATGTGATTCAGGTGTGTTGACCCAGGGTGAGATCTAAAACCTGCAGGGACACCGGCCCTCGTGGACTGGTGTCCCTGCACCAGTCCCCTGCATTAGGCGGTAGCAGCTGGTACCAATTACTTTTTTAGTGTCCGTTCAGGCAGGGGCTCCAAGTGATCCGAAAATGTGATGTCAACATACTAAATGCCACCGATTGGCCAGTTAGTGGCGTCTCTCGATCAGTTATGAAAAG